GTGGGGCGGGCTTTGGCTTGCCCTTGCCTTAGACTTAGCCCTTATGGGTGGAGATGCTCTAAGGAGGTGATCAAATCAATAATCCTTTCTGTTTTCTTTTTTAATTTCTCTTTTAATTTAGCAACCGCAAAAAGTGATCAAACTACTTATTTCTTCATTTATTTTTCATGTCCTCTATTCTAACTTTACAGGTATTGGGAGATTGTTAGAAAGGCCTAGCTCTGAGTCTTCTTCCTAAGCAGCAGCAGCAGCAGCAGCAGGATATGGAGGAGATCCTCACCTCAGTGCAACTCTCTATCTATCTATCTAAAATATATCATTAGGAACTTAACCAAGGTGTATTGGGGTTTATTTACATTGGCTTCTCTTGGTCTTAACCAAGCTATATTAGGAACTTACTTAACCAAGCTGTATCAATTTAAGTTGCTGAATTTTGGTCATGCAGGTTGTTGGTTCAATTGGGGCTTTGTTTTCTGTCTTTAGCCAAACTTGGGCCAAAAGCAAGTTTGGGCCCAGCGACCTTACAAAATAAAGTACCAAGTTTATTTTATCTTCTTGCAGCAATCTAAACAAACGAATTTAAATATAGCTGCAAAATATAAGAGAAAGAATGAAGTCGGCACCTTTGGAATAGCAAGGAAATCAAGAATTCCAAGGAGGTCAGTGATAAGGTCTTCTCGGGTTGGGAATTTGAGTTTCTATGTGAAACTCGTTCTAAATTTGTAATCAACAGATGCCAAAGATTTGTAGTTTTTTTGGCAATTTGCATTAGAAATCATAATTACAATTCCACTCTCTCTTTTCGTCATTTTTGGGTGGATGAATTGAGTATGTTTGTACCTCAAAGTTCAAATGCTGCCATGCAAAATTGCAACTTGGATGAATTCAGTATGTTTCTATTCATACCAGATTCACCTTCCAACCGTAGTAGGCTTGGGGTTCAGAACTTCACCAAGAGTTAGTTAGTTGTACTTGTACAGCACCCAAAAATGTTTCCGACACGTCATAAAATAATATGCCACGTGTACGATCAGGATATCTCGTGAGGGAATCATGGGTTGTCATTGTTGAGCTAAAGAGTGGCCATGGCACCATGTCTCCATAATCTGAAGATTAAAAAGTTGGTTTTCAAATGGTACGTAAAAATTACAATCCATTCAATTGAACTAGAAAAGAAAACCCAATTAAAATGAGTTGAGTTGGATAAAAATATAGAATTACATATTTTTATTAAAAGGGGATTTTTGGACCTTTGATTGCAACTTGGAAGCACATTTGGCTGGCTTAGCCGAGCTCAATTTGGCGTGGCTCGCTGACTGCTTTGTTATTTATAAGAATTTTTGTTCATTTTAATAGGAGACATTAAAAATTAGGAGCTAATTTTTCCACTTATCTTTTATTTACATTCTCTTGTTGGAAATTGTATGACCATGACTTAACGTCTACCATAGCTATACAACATAAAAAATTTCTTTGACCACCATTATTTATAAAATAGGATTGTAAGTAAAATGGTGCCGTATGAATACAATTTTTTTTAATGAATTAAAATAAATAAAAAATAAAAAATTATTTGAGTCGGTGCTTTGGAGCAAATAGATATGCAAGAGTTACAAGATATTCCGAATCATAAAAAATACATCTGTGTTATATATCTTGGAATAGATATATAAGATATTTCAAGATATTACATACATCTTGGATCCAGAAACCGTCTATACCAAAAGAGTAGTAGCCCATATCAAATTTTGGCTAAACTAAACCTTTTAAACTTACTTTAGTTACACCACAAGAGTACACACAAAAACAAGTTATTGAGGCAAAGTATGTTCCATATTTTGTTCGTTAACTTTGTCCTTGATTTCTAAAATCTGTCTTAAAAAACCTTAAGAATTCAAATTCATTTCACATTGGTCATAATCAACCACTAATTAAACGATTGTTACTTTCTTTATTATTATTATTATTATTATTTTCACAAATCTCTTTTATTGCATGCATTTAATAAAGCGTATTACATTCTCAAATGTTGGTAAGTATTTTGATTTTTCATTATCCTTAGCACGAAAAATAAAAGACAAAAAATAAAAGCCTCGGATATACGCGCTAAAAGCGAGCCAACTGGCGCGGAGGAGCCAAGCCTAAGACTTTACTCTCTCTCCGCACACAGAAAAGTGGTGGGAACTTTCACTACCTGGTATATATTTTTGGTTCCCAATGCTAAAAACACAAACATTTCACTTCAATCTTTTGCCGCTTCCACCGTTAAAATGCTCTTCAACTTTCTCTGCAACTCTCAGCTGCTTCCTCTCTCTTGTCAGTTGTCTCTACCGTCACAAAACCAGAGCCAATTGAACTCTCTCAGTAAAAGCTAGCACAAACCAGACAACCAGCTAACCAACCAACCAAACCATGTTTGACGATGAAAGTCCCAAACTTCCTAACCCACTCATTGTCTTTATCTACCAATTGCAATACTTAAAAAGATCGATACTTTCCGTTCTTCTTAGCTTGCCCACTTCTCTTCTTGCTCTGCTTCTCCTTCTCCTTTTGGCCTACAATGGCTTCTATGTCTTCTGTATTTACCTTCCTCTTTCCAAGCCCTCGCCGGACCCCGCCATTTTCTCCGCGGGAAATCTCGCCGGGGATTCTGTAAGTAATTGGGTTCCTGCGCATGTTTCTTCTTCTTCTTCAAGTTCAAAAATTTCTTCTTCTGTGATGTATGTGGTGAAGGAAGAAAATGCGCCAATGTTCTTAAAGACCAATTTGCCTCCTCTGCACAACCCAAGAAATTCAATGGTACCCATCTCAAAATTTTCACTCCAAAGGCCAAGGCGGATCAAAAAACACAAGCGCAAGCTCAAAAGCTTACCCCCTGAACCAAAACTCTCTCTTTTTTCAACAAGAATGAGAGACTTCTTTGCTGGTAACTCTTCTTCTTGTAAAGTCAGGTTCTTTATGACTTGGATTTCGTCCAAGACTTTTGGAAACAGGGAATTGCTGGCTGTGGAGAGCTTATTCAAGTCCCATCCAAATGCTTGTTTGGCCATAGTCTCAAATTCGCTGGATTCAAAGAAAGGAAGTCAAATTTTGAGGCCATTCTCAGAAATGGATTTCAGGGTAATGGCAATTTCTCCGGACTTTGATTACTTATTCAAGAACACTCCTGCAGAAGCTTGGTATTATGAGCTAAGGACAGGGAAAGTGAATCCTGGTGGAGTTTCTTTGGGTCAAAATCTCTCTAATTTGCTTAGGCTTGCTTTGTTGTATAAGTTTGGTGGTATTTATTTAGACACAGATGTTATAGTGCTAAAGAGTTTATCAAAGTTGAGAAATGTGATTGGAGCTCAGGCAATTGATGCCCAAACTGGGAATTGGAGCAGACTGAATAATGCTGTGTTGGTATTTGATAAGAACCATCCATTGATCTTCAAGTTTATCCAAGAATTTGCTCTCACATTTGATGGGAACAAGTGGGGTCACAATGGCCCTTACTTGGTTTCAAGGGTGGTTTCAAGAGTGAGAGAAAATCCAAAAAACCCAGGTTTTAATTTCACTGTCTTAACACCCTCAGCGTTCTATCCGTTTAACTGGAGCCGAATTCGGAGTCTCTTTCGGGGTCCTAAAGATGAGCTTCATTCAAAATGGTTACTTGCAAAGCTGAGGCATATTTGTTCTCAAAGCTTTGCACTGCATTTGTGGAACAGCCAGAGTAGACGGCTGAATGTTGAGAAGGGAAGCATTATTGATCATCTAATGTCAGAACTTTCGATCTTTCCCAATTCTTCAGCTTCAAGCTCTGCCAAGATAGAATAAGGTTGATAAATTGTGCATGTGTTACTTTGTCTTGTTCATTGTTTTAGAGGTTGGTTGTTTTTGTATGTAAGATATGTTTCAACTGCCAACTCAGTTCGTTCAGATATTGTGGTGGTGAATGGCTGAGGAGGAATAAAAGAAATAACAGAAAAAATCGAAAATCAAAATGATTTTTTCTTGTATATTTATCATTGGTTCTCATGATGAAATTTATCTTGGCCCTTTTAATTTTCTGCGCTTGTACTATCTTATGGAGATCAGAAAATGCAAAGAAGTTTATAGCATTGGAAGATTTCATTTCCTGCTCTTTTCTGAGGAGGCTTTCTGCCATACTGCAT